AGCCCAATATTGAATTAACCGACACTTCTTTTTCAATTTTTTCTTATTAATACTAGTAGCCCGCTGACTTAAAACTAAATTATACTCGTACGGCATTGACTCGCTCAAAATTAAAATACTCTCATAATATTTACTTTATCTATGAAAATGGATGCACACATATTTTAGTTGCATATTTTATTTACAGTCAATTAATAATAATAATAATAATAATAATAATAATAATATTCCATGATGAGACAAATGTATGGATTTCGATTAGGGTATTATTCTACCACAGTAGTGTACTCTATTACTCAGTCTTTCTTGTAAAGTAGTCAAAAAAGATATTTTTTGCCCCTAATAATAATAATAGTATTGAAAAAAAAAATATCTTTTGAATAAAAAAAATGAAAAGATACCATGAAAATGAGATACCATCATATTCAATCAATCAACCATTTGATGTAAAGGCAAATTATAAAATCTTGCTTTTACTTTGAACATGCAGTGAAAATGGAGATTCCACTACTGTTTAAGTTTTCACTTTAATTATGAACTTAAATGAAAATAAATATATTAATTAAATGCAAAATCTCCAACCTGATAAAGCCGTGTTTACGTGTAGTTTCATTTCATTAAATATTCGTTCAGAAAGCAATATTTTTAGCAACTGAGTCTGATTTTGAATCTGGATATGGAACCTGAAACAATATCTTGCAAAAGAATCCTCATGCAGTCACTCTTGAAAATATTTTTCTTGGTATCAAAACTAAATTATTTTCTAGAAACAAAATAGATTCTTAATTCATATAGCGTATTACATTAGTCAGGATCTATATTTCATAACGGCTAATTATACATTTTTGTTATTATAATTATTAGTTTGGTGAATGACTAGTCTTTTATTTATTTACTTGGCAGTATATTGAATTTAAATTTAAATTGAAATTCATAATTTTAATGGGAAGCACTTTTGAGCACTAAAAGCCCAGTCCAAAAGTTCTGTGGTCTTCATCTCCTGCAAAAGCCGATCAAAAATAGTAGTACCTTTTGTCATTTATGTGCCCACTGGGCTCTGCTCTACACACTCCATCATTTCACAATTTATGAATCTCTAAGTGTCAACCTGAATAAAGTATTAATATGACAAAAAAGAAGGTAATAATCAATTAAGGAGATGGATTTGCAAGTGCGTGCAAACATGGCGGTGGGGAACTAAAAGTTAAAAGAGAAACCAAATACATGAACAGTAGAAGAACACACAAGCAGGCTTTGAAAAGTCATGAAAGATGGGCACTTCTCCCTCAATGCTCATAACAGAACTTGTCTTTGCATGGCATAAACACCATCAGAAATTACATTTTCTGATATTTATTTTTCTTTTTCTAAATAAATAAATAAATAAATCCAAGATTAAGAGGGAGTTTTCTTTTAATAAGCTTTACTTGATTGAGATTTCTGAAATTTGAAGTTCAGTTTCAGCAAATTCAAACTAGAGAGGTTTTATATAATGTTGATCACAATAGTGCGATTCTTAAATTATTTATAATCATGAGATCATTCATAACCCAAAAAACTAGCGTATATTACATCTATTGCCCATGTGATCTAAAATCTAACGGGTGCCACAAATAGAAACTATTTTACTTACGGATTTAATTCTTAAATTAAATAAATTTTATTGACCTAACTGTTAAGCTAAATTAATTTAATGTTTAATTGTTAAAGCTAGATTAAATTAGGGATTACTTTGGAAAGTCAAACCTCTTATATGTATATAAAAGCCGAGCATGGTTTGCATTATATGCAAGCCAAGTGTAAGTCTTTGAAATTGCTAAGTACGAGGAGGATAATAATTATTTAGCATGGTTGTAAAAAGATAAAGTGTAATGACAATAATTGTAAGAAGATAATTAGTTTTATATTTTTAGATAATATATTTATCATGATAATATTTATTGGTTACATCGTATCAAGATAATGCATTAGATTAAATTAAAATTTAATTAAAATACAAATAATTCAAGCCATAAAATAAGAAATATTTAATTTCTTATTTTGATGATTACATTGACGTATGGAGTAGTCTTATATACCAAAAGCTACATTGCACAAACACGAGATATGGAAACGTACGACATATAATATATATCTATCTATATAATATATAAAAGCTCGAGTAATTTGCTTCATATGGAAGCCAAGTGTAAGTAGCACAGTTTGCCACGTGACATTATTTTGGATTATAGAATGACGATGTTAAAATTAACATAATTTAGCACAATTATAAGAATTATAAAAAAAATCAATTATTTTATATTTTCAGATAATTCCTCTATCAATATAATATTTACAAAAAAAGATTATCTCTAGCATTTAATATATTAATATAAATTTATTTTTTCTTACAAAACAATTAATAAGTAATCCACACGCTTAAATGAATAAGCCACACGGCTGTTAAAAAGAGTGTGAATAAAGTAATTACATGTGATTAATTAAAAACAATATATAAGCAATTAAAAAAATATAAATTGGAACGCACCGAGATACAATAATTTTTAATAAAAGTAAGGCTTATTCAAACGCTTATGAACACACTACACACACTACACTAAATAAGTAATACATTAGCATTTAAAATAAATAAACAACAATTTATAATAAATTATAAACATAAAATAAAAAAATTAATTTTTTATTTCAATACAAAAAATATTTAAAACACTTTATTGATAGTAAACCAAAAAACATTGGTTGATTAGCTTGGTGTATGAAGTAGTCTCATATACTAAGAGCTGAGTTGCATGAAAACGAGACACGAGATACGGAACGTATGGAATATGATAATTTTTAAAAAAGGTAGGACATTCACTCGCTTAAAACACATTATACTAAATAAGTAATACATTAATATTTTAAATAAATAAACAATTATTTACAATCTTAATTTTTTGTAATAAGTGCATAAAATAAAAAAACAATTTTAAAGCAAATTAAAGAAAAAGACTGATCATTTTATTGAAAAATAAAAAAATCGAATAGTTATTAGCTTGGTTAGATATAGTCTCATATACCAGGAGTAGATTGCACAAACATAGGACACGAGATACCAAGAACGTAACCGAATTCGATAATTTTAAAAAAAGGTAGGCATCCACTGTGACGTTAGGACACAATATAGCTAAATAGTAATATATTTTAAATAAATAAACAATCATTTAAAATAAATTATAAACACAAAAAAAAAACATAATTTCTTATTTCAATGACACAGAAATTAAAAAAACACTTCATTTTTTATTGATAATAAAAAAAAAATGTTAGTTGATTAGCTTGGTGTATAGAGCAGTCTTATATACCAAGAGCTATATTCCATGAAAATGAGATACGATAATTTTTAAAAATGTAGGATATCCACACGCTTAAGACATAATACACTAAATAAGCAATACATTAATATTTCAAATAAATAAAAATTATTTATAATAAATCATAAACATAAAATTAAAAATACTTAATTTCCTATTTCAATGACACAAAAGCAAATTTAAAATAAAAAAAAAAACACTTCATTTTTATTGGTAAAAAGAGAAAAACCTTGGTTGATTAACTTGATGTAAGGAGTAATACATTAATATTTCAAATAAATAAATGATTATTTATAATATATAATAAATATAAAATTAAAAATACTTAATTTCCTATTCCAATGATACAAAAGCAAATTAAAAATAACTCTTCATTTTTATTGGTAATAAAAGAACAATTTTGGTTGATTAGCTTGGTGTAAGAAGTAATTTCATATACTACGAGCTAGGTTGCACGGACACGGGACACGAGATACGAGAATGTACAGATACTATAATTTTTAAAAAGTAGGACATTCATATGCTTAGGACACACTACACTAAATAAGTAATACATTAATATTTCAAATATAAATAAATAATCCATTTATAAGTAAATTCATAAGCATAAATAAAAAATGATTTAATTTTTATTTCAATATAATATGTAAATTCTCAAAATTTTATCACTATTGAAAAATATATTAATAGTTTGTATGCATTTTTTTTATGTAGGTCATACCATGCATGATTTTTGCTATTGTATACCTTATGAAAAGTTTCGCATGATACTTAAGAAGACATATCTTAGCATCGCAACTTTTCAGCACATCTCAATAAGATACAGTTTATCATTTTATTATATAATTTTACTATTTTTGAATGACATTATAAAATACTATTTCATCTTTCAATATTACCATGTGCATCGCGGGGATTATAAGGAGAAAAAAAAAGCAATTATATTTTCAGATAATATCATATAGGAGGAAAAAAAACTAAATAAATATTAATAAGCAAAAATTATATTTTTTGGAAATAAAAAAAGAATATAAGGAAAAATAATTCCGATAATTTTCTCTTCAAATTAGAAGAAAAAATAAAAAAGTTTAAAAATAAAATTGTAGGGAAAAACTAATTTTATTTTTCTTTTATATCCAAAAAAATAAGTCACAAAAGTTTTTTCCCAAAAAAAATTTAGTCCCTTCTTATTTTTTCTGATTATTCATTAATAAAAAAGATACAAAAATAAATTTAAAAAAACACTTCATCACGCGATATGGAACGTACCCGGTTCGACAATTTTTAAAAAAGTAGAAGATGTACATGCCGAGCACACACTACACTAAATAAGTATAATACATTAATATTTCAAATAAATCAACAATCATTTATAATCATAAACATAAAATAAAAAAATACTTAAAATTTCTTATTTCAATATAATTAGTTAAATTCTCAAAATTATTATAAATGTTAAAAAATACATTAATAGTATGTGTGTATTTTTTTTTATACAGATCATACTAGGAATATTAAAATGGATCACGATATGCGAACATAATTCGTTAACACGCGAAATAAAAGAATTATCGTCTCGTAAACAAGTCACCCATTTTTTTTTTATATTCAAATTAGTTCCGTTGGCTATTCGAACATAATCCACAGTTAAAGAAAAGAAAAATTTTAAATTTTCACTGGATATATATATATAATATTAAATACATAATTGTCACCATACATTGTTATCACCTAGTTTTCACTAAAATTATACCAAAAACCAAACTCAACCTATGTCGCTCCTACTCCAAGAAAGTCAATAAAGGGCATGTTGATTTTCTCATTGTCACCACCAGAGAGAGAGGGATTGATCCTGTTGGTACCTACTGACTCAGTTGCAGACACTTCCGAGTTAGAATCTGACTGACCAGATTGGTCCACCCCCATAACCACCACTCTCATCGACCCTATTTCATACATTTCTTTGCTGTTGCTACTACTGCTGCTGCTATTCCTATACAACTTGTCCAATTCCCCATTTCCCAATCCCATAGCCACCTCTTTTTCTGCATATCCACCTGTAAATCCCAAAAATCCATAAAACTAATTAGCCAAAACACAGTTGTTAAAGAACCCATTAATGCTTATAAGTGTTAATTAATTCATCAAAAAAAAAAAAAAAAACAATATAAATTGAGAAATAAATTATCTTCTGGTAAAATATAAGCATACCCATTTGTGAATATCGTTGGGGATTGAACCTAGTGAAAAGTCTAGGAGGTGCTTTGGTTGAAGAAGGTGTGAGAGAGAGATCAGTAGTGCAAGTTGAGGCAGATTCATCAATGGTGCTAGAGAGGGTTGTTGATTCACTGGAAGCATTGTTATGTAAAGTAACATTGAGTCCTCTGCTGGTTGGTGGTAAGAGGATTTGAGAAGAAGAAGAGGGCTTTCTTCTTCTGTAAATGCTTGATTGTTCTCTATGTTTTCTAGCCATAATCACATGCCAATGGTTTTTAACTGCATTATCAGTCCTGCCAGGGAAAAGCCTAGCAATCATTGCCCATTTGTTGCCATAAAGTCTATGGGCAGCTAATAGTCTTTCTTCTTCTTCCTCAGTAAAAGCTCTTCTGTTGATTCTTGGATCCAGTTGGTTGAACCACCTTAATCTACAACTTTTCCCTGAAAATCAAAATAATATCCAAGATTAGATATTTCTTTCTTTTGATAAATTCTTGATTTGGGTTTTTCTTTTCTTTTTTAGTTTATAAAATAATAGCTAATCAAGAAAATAATAAAAGGTATAATCTTTTCTTCTTTTTTTTTTCGATTCTCTGATTATGATCAATGCAAAAATGCACAACTTTCTGAACATTTTTGGCTAAGAATAGTTGTTCTCCACTTTCCATGACAAAGATTTTTTTGAGGAGGCGTACCTGATCTTCCTTCAAGATTCTCAGCGATCAAATTCCAATTTTGAGGGCCATATTGGGCTACAAGCTCTTTAAGCTTAGCATCTTCAGCTGGTCTCCAATGGCCTCTAGCACAAAGCTTTGTGTGTCCATTTTTACCAGAAACAGAGTTTTTAGGCTCTTCTTCTTCATCTAAATGTAAAGCAAGACCTTTGTTTTGAACAACCAAATAGCCATCACTTCCATCATCGTTAGGCCTCTTAGTTCCTCTGTTTTCTACTTGTTGGTCCATTGAATGGCCCAAAACCTGAAAATCCATTTGAGGACTTTTGGTTTCTGGTTTACCCATTAACCCAAATGTATTAGTTTTAGAGAGAGATAATTGAGAAGAAGGAGGCGGAGGCAAAAAGTTCATGTCTCGATAACCATTAAAACCAATGTTGTTACTCCTTAGGTGTTTTAGACTCATTTTGACCAAAAATAAAATAAAATTAAGCCGATGATTTTCTTCTTCTTTTTTTAACAATTGGCGAAAATGAAATAACAAAACAGAACTTGAAAACCCAAAAACCCAACTCCTTTCCACAATGCCTTGCTAAAACAGAGCAAAAACAGAGTTATCAGATTTAACAAGGCAAAAAATAGAAGTGGGTTCTATTTATTTTTCTCTTTTGACGATCCAAAACTGCAAATCTACCATTTGAAAAAAAAAAAGAAAGGTGTGTTTGGCAGGAAAGAAAGATAAAGCTGGAGGCTTTCTTTAAATTCTTTGAATTTGTGGATGGGGCAAAGAAGAAAGGAAGAAAGGAAGAAAGGGATAGGGAAAGCAATAGCAATAGCAATAGCAATAACAAAAAAGAAGAGAAGAACCCACACGATTCTCTCTTTACTCTTTTTCTCTCTTTATACATAAAACTGCAAGAAACAGAGAGACACAGAGATGAGGTAAGGACTAGGGGAGCTTATTTTGAGACTGATCTCTGCTTCTCTTAAGCAACTACATGTATGTATATAACAAAAAGAAATTTAAAAAAAAAAAAAAAAAAAAAAAAAAAAAAAAAAAAAAAAAAAAAAGGAAAAAGGTTAGTAAATAGTGATTGCATTTGTTGGGTTGCATGCAACTCGAGAGCCACTCGTGTGGGTGGGTGGGTGTGTCCCTAAAAAACATATGCTATGGCATTGGTATTGGTGTTCAGCTTTGTTTTGTTTTTCTCTCTCTTTTGGTCTTTCTTGGGGTTTGGAGAAAACCAGAATCTGCTTGTCTCTTAGTAATACCTTCTTTAACTTTTCTTTTCAAAGCAAAACGGAAAATTTTATAAAGTACCAAAGTCTTCTTTAATATTTTTATTTTTAGTAATTATTAAAAAAAAGAAATTAAAAAAAAAAACATCACCACTTCCTCATACACCACTTTTCTTTTTCTTTTTTTTTATTTTGACAATGTATTTTTTTATTATTAAATTGCGATTTTCAAAAATCAAACTTGTAATTTCTTATTTTGTTCAATAAAATTTAAAGGTTATTTACTATTTTTTTATTTTTAATTGATTGTTGTACAAATTGTTTCTATGATATGGCTTTGAATGGATTGGAACTTTATGTAATGGTTAAGTATCCATGCTTTTAATGAGAATGAATTAAGGGTTTTAATTATATCATATTTGAAATGACTAGAATGTGATGTTCCTTCTCTTAGATGAATAAGATTGATAGGTGATGTGTTATTATTATTATTATACATCATAAAAGCTTTGTCCAATTCAGGTTTTAAATTATAAATTTCACCGACAATAATATATTTTCATTATTAATTTAAGTTATTCTCTCAAAATTTAAAATTTATAAATATGATATATTTCATACACTGAATAAAATAAAAAAGGATAATAGCTTTAGAAAGAATTTAAAAAGAAAAATTACATGACAAAATAGTTAATAATACTTCATTAATTAATTGTAATAAAATTATATTTTTAAAGTACAAATAAACTCCTAACTTGTCATAAAAAAACTCAAAAATCCAAAAAAAATTTTTTTTTTTTTAGAAATCAAAAAATAGTATTGAAATGCATCCATTAAATTAATATATAATAAAAAGAATACATAATCTTCTTAATTTTTGGAGTGGTGACTCACTCCAATCTCCTTTCCTTTAACAACTTTTTATTGATTTTCATGTTACTTTATTATTAATTATTATGATAATGTTCTGTTAGCTAAACCTTCAAAAGATGAACAATTATTCTATTCCTCCTCAAATCTTTTTGACTGTTGAAATGATTGTCCCACTTTTATGCCTTTCAGATTTTCTTTTTCCTTCATTCATTTTCTTTTATTTCCAATTATTTGGCCCACACCGAATAATATATAAAAATAAAACCCCCAATTTTTATTATTCATGATTTATTATGTATAGCACCGGGCCACGTCACTACTCTCGAGGACCCACGAATAAGTGAATCCTACACACTTGATCTTGATGGATGGTTGCTGATAATGATGATTTAACTAATTTTTTTCATCATGTAATTGTGAATATGAATAAACATGTCAATATTTTGATGTCTGCTACTCGTTAATGTGCAGTCATTTCTTATAATCTTAATCCTACAAAAATGAATATTATGAAATATTTATTAATTTAACTAAATTATCATTTGAAAAAATATGAAGATAATTACTATATTTAATATAAATAATTGTGGATTTGAAAAATTATTATTTATTATTACTAGATATTTTCAAAATGACTTACATTTATGGATAAAATCTTAAGACAATCTATATATATGGATAGAAGTAAGAAGAAACGGTCTAAAATGAATACCTGACCAACAATAACAACATCCAAGCTGTCCTGACAAACTATTTAAAATGTATTAATTAATTTTTAGAGCTGTTTAGTTGCTTAATTGTGTATTTAAAGATGGATAAGAAAAGAAAAGAAAAAAAAAAAAAAAAAAAACATTTTATTAAAGTTTAACCCTTAAAAAAAAATTGATCACATCTGAAAATAATACTGAAAAGGAGTATATTAACGTTAATATGTCCCACATATTAATGAACCCATTGGGTGGGATTTAACACACTCCTATTATTTTATTAGTTACTAGCAAACTCATTTTTCCAAAAAAAACTGACTTAACATTTATGTGATATTACCAATCCTTAAGGACAAAATCTTATACTAATCACCCCATAGCGTGCGGAAAAGTAAGAAAACGAAACGGTTCTAAAAAATGATAGCTGACACAATAGACACACTCCAAGGTCTGTGCAGTAATGAACCATAAAATTTCCTAGAAAATGATTAATTAATTTTATTAGAGACTGTTTAGTTGCTTAAAATTGTGTATTTAAAGGATGGGATAAAGAAAAGGAAAGTATGGAAAAAAAAAAAATAAAAAAAAGAGGCGATATAGTTACTAATAAATAGTGGATTTAAAAGCAAGTCATGTGAGTGAAAGCGCTGACCGGGATTCATGATAAATTGGTTAACTAAACTGGATGTTGTCTGAAGAATACGAATGAGTAATTGGTTTTTGCAAAAAAAAAAAAAAAAAAAAAAAAAAGAGTGATAATACGTAATAAAAGTGGATTAAAACAAGTCATGTGAAAACTACCGATTCATATAAATAGGTAACTAAACTGGATGTTGTTGAAAATAGAAAGTAATTATGGTTTTTCTCCTTTTGCTTCTTTGACTTGTGACACATTTTTATTAACTGCACTTATTCTAGGAGACATCAATACCATGTCCTAATCACTGATTAATTCCTTAATTAACTTCCAATTATTTGTTTAGGAATTGATTTTTGCTGGATATGTAACAATTAAATATCCCACGAGAAGAATTTTATGTAAATATAATTTTAACCTGAACATGAAAATATTGGGTGTAAATAAAAAATAATTTTTATTTGATAAAAATGGGAAAAAAACAAAGGAAAAAGAAAAGCAATAAAAACGAATCGTTTCAGTACGTTACAGTACGTTACGTTAATGGCAAAAACTGCACACGCGCAATTGAAGTTTCAGGTTTCTGTTTCAACAACTCTCTTCTTTTTATCTCATAACCGTAACGTAAACACAAAAACACAAAAACAGCTCTTTATTTTTTGTTATTTTTTATTTTTAAAAAAACAAATAAGTAAATGCTAAAATTATTAATATATTCTGATTGGGTTGCCCTCCTCGTGCATGCGTTTTGTCTCTTTATACAAACCGTTTCTCTTTATTGTCGTTTTGTGCTTTTGATGACGATATTGTGTGGGGATGAGCGGGGGAGTTACACGTGCGGTTCGACCTTCACCAAACACGTGTACGGTTAAGATGGGAGTTTGTTGTTAACGATTTTTTTTTTTTAAAGAGAAATAGAAAAGTTAATAAATACAAAGTCTCCAGTCTCCTGTAACGAAATCTCTGAGCATATTTGAAGTGGGGTATCCTGTTTTTTTTTTTAATATAATGTTTGAATTCAAGAGCCCTCACGTGTTACAAATCTTCATAAGGACCTAAATGCCCCTACTATTTTTTAAAATTACAGCTCTTTTGACATGTACAAAACCGACACCGAACTGCATTCAATGATTTTCGATTTTAAAATATAATTCAAACCGTGTGCTTACCATTCGATTGCAATTTTTTATTCTTTGGAATCAAACCGTAAAAAAAAAAAAAAAAAAAAAAAATCCAAACGTAAAAAAAAAAAAAAAATAAAAAAATAGGCAAAGAGAACTATTAATTTTATTTTTTATTAATTTTTTGTTCAATAAATTTTTTTTAAGCGCTTGTTTTTTACAAAGAAAAAAAAAAAAAAAAAAAAAATAGCAAAGGAACTATTAATTTTATTTTTTATAATTTTTTTAAATAAATTTTTTAAGGCTTTCTTTTAAAAGGCTATCGGTTATTTTCAATATTACTCAACATCAATTATTATTATCATTATTAGTCATGTTATAAAATTAAAACTTTGAATAATTAAAAAAGAGTAAATATTATCTAATTCATGTTCCGAACTAGAACCATCAGTTTCAAAATCATCTAAAAAACTTCCTAAGAATAATTTGATTCCAATTTTACCCTCTTTTGAAATTAAAACGAGTAGTTTCATAAATAAAAACTAGCTGTTTTTAAATCGTGATTAGTTAAAAATAACCAAAAATTAAATCGAATTGGAATTATTTAATTCGGTCATTGCAGTTTTTTAAAGAGTCTACTTCTAATAAACAAAACTAATTAATTTAATTGGATTTCAGTCTCTTATACTATCCAACCAAATTTATTTTACTCGTCTAACAATTAAATGGAGTTAAAATAATGAACTCAGTTGGATTTTATATGTTATGAGATTTCAGTTATCTATATTTCTCTTATTTCTAACGATGGAAGGAAGGGCTCTTAGGACTATCCGCCAATCCCAATCTTTTAAAAAATTTTAATTTATAATATATTAAAAGTTTTCAATTTTACTTATAAAATAGTTAGCGTTTATTTCCTTAAATTTAAATTTTTTTTCTCTAATTTTTATTTCTAGCTTCGTCACTAATTACTCAATTATCAGTTAATGTATTTGGATTTCCAAATTAATCTATCCACAATCTTAACCATGGTTACGTGTACTAACATACTACGTTTATTGTAAAAATGACATAGCAATGACTTTTATTTTATTTTTTTCCTAGTATAAAGACACTCATATTCTTTTTTTTTTTTTTTTTTTTTTTTGACTTTTATTTTATTTTTTTCCTAGTACATAAAGCGACCACTCATAGTTCTTTTTTTTTTTCTTTTTTTTTTTTTGAGAAATCGACACCTCATATTCATTTTAATATTTCACGTGTTATGATTAGCATTTGATTACACGTTGTATTCTAATACTAATACAAAACTGTTTGTTTTTTTTTTTTTTTTTTTTTTTGAGAAAACACTCATATTCATTTTAATTTCACGTGTTATATTACATTTGATTACGTGTATTCTATACT